GGGTAAGTGTATCTCCAACTCCTCGATGTAGAACTTGAAGATGGGCTCTGTTTGCCAAAAGTGCCGAAAAGTTGTGGCTTGACGACATTATGATTGGGGGCTTGACCTCTTGTGTGGAATTCGTGAGCGATAAACGACCTCCAACCCGAAAAATTTCGTCTTTGTCTATGTGAGGGCATAGTTCAGAGATTCGAGATGTAGACTCGACTAGTTGGCCGTTGGTCAAAGCGGTGAGCTCTGCAAGAAAGCCTTGCTCTTGTGTACGTCTTATTCAATACTGTTTAGCGTTCAGGATTTCTACTGCCACGAAATGTCCAGTCTGATTCGTCCTTTTTCTGCATCGTTCAGTGAATCTGAAAACCCACGCAGTGACTATGAGCAGGTGCTGAAGCCTGCTGTAACGTTGAATGTCGATTATCGGAATTGAGAAGCGTGTCACTAGTGCGACGTGGACTGTTGCAACTTCACCTTGGGTGGCTCCGCTATGTCTAGTTCACCGAACTGTAGGGGCCATTAAGGCATTGGTCTAGCTAGCCACTTCAGAACCCTGCCATTTAGAGCTGCACATCAGTCTCTCAAGCTTCGCAACACGCATGAGTAGGTCAACCGGATGTCCGGTACAAGACAGTATTTCAACTTTGATGGATCTGTTGTGCAACTAATTTCATTGACTCCGTTGGCTACGAGACAACGTTGGCTCGTTGGTTTTCACTTTTTGACGTCACCTTTTATCCATTACAACACAATGGCTGAATCTGTCCACATCATGTAGTCAACTTGAACATTCCTCAAACCGCTTTTCACGTATGCCAGCATTCTTGAGCCCATTAAGGCAGCCAGCAGCTCCAATCGCGGCAGCGTTGTCTCCTTAATGGGTGCTACACGGGACTTTGCAATCAACAGTCTCGGCTTCTCAGCACATGGCACGATGTATATTGCTTCTCCGTATGCCGCTGAACTGGCATCACAAAAAACGTCTACTTGAAGCATATTGGGCTTCCTTGCTCCGCCGCCCAGATAGCGAGGAGCAACAACGTCTTGCAGGTGCGGCAGCGGGATGACCCAATGATTCCATTTTTTTTTGCAGGTCATTGGGTAGTACTTTATCCCAGCCAATCCCTCGTGTCCACAGCTTCTAAATCAATAGTCGTATGACGATAGTATATGGTCCTACAAGTCCAAACGGGTCGCATATTCTTGATGCTGACGGCAAGACAAATCGTTTTGTGTCCGTCTGGGCTGTCAAAAACCAGAGTATATTTTCAACCGAAAAGCTGAATTCATCCTTTGCAGGATTCCACACCAAACCTAGGACATTGAACAACGTTTCGTGAAGAACAACCATATATTTACTAGTAGACTCTTTTTTTTTTGGTGTTCAAGTGCTCGCATCAAGTTTCCTGAATTTGTTGTTCACTTTCACAAGGTCACGCCGGCCGATTTTATTATTGTTTGCACTTCTCGGTAAAGTTTAGCGGCTTCCTCTTCTGTAACGGCACCAGTGACTAAGTCATCCACGTAAAACGAGTCGACAAAAGTTTGTGCTGTTTGTACCATGGCAGCCGGTGCTATTTTCACATAGTAGAGAATAGTAGCTGTGAGCAAGAATAAGATACATGTAGCTCCGAAAGGCACTCGTGTCATCCTTCACTCTTGCAGCTTTCTCTTGCATAAATATCCTTCTGCAAACCAGAGAAAGCGGAAAGCGTCTCTGTCGTCTTCCCGAATCACAATCTGAAGGAATGCCTTTTCTATGTTAGCGATCACTGCAACCGTTGCATTCTGAAGCGTAGCGGAATTTGCACGAGGCCTTAGTACAAGTTGTCACTTTTTTCAAGACAGTCATTAAAGACTTGCATCATTTGGCATGTGACGAAGCGTCAAACACCACTCTAATTTTTGTCGTCAGCGCTTGTTCACGGATGACTTGCATGTAATACAACTTCGTCACATCTGCAGGTACATCACTGACTGCTTCGGCGTGTCCTGCCCGCAAGTACTCTCTTATGGTATGGTCATACGTTCCGAGCAGTCCTTTTCTGGAGTCGAGGCGGTTGACAACCTTGTCCACTCGAGTAACGGCCACTTGCCTGTTGCTTGCAAGCTCGAAACCATCCTTCTAAGGGAGGGCCACTTCATATATTCCGTTTGTAAAGCTAATCGTTTTCTCAAAATGCATCCCGGTATTGCTTATTTCAGGTGGCTTGTTGGTATCGGCAGCTTGGACTTTTAGCACGCACACCATCATTTGTGGAGTAGTTGGTCGAGACACCAAGTGCGATGTGCTTCCCCGGAAGGTCCACCAAAGCTTGGAGTTCAGTACGATCAATGATTCGTTGCCTTCGCACGGTGAAACTTCGTCGGTCAAGACTTTCCACATCTGATCGGACGCAATCAGTACGCTTATGCCACACTTAGTGATGATAGATGGGTATTTCAGCTCATCGGCGACATCCTTTCCCAGATTCTTGAAAGAAGCGACGAAGGCTGCGTCTATTGCTTTCTCTGCGATGTCCTGGCAGATGCTTGGAATCTCTGTTGCTGTTAGGATTATTTCCGCGTCGGAAAACTGGCTTCGCAGTCGTAGTTCTATGATGCGACGCCTCTTCCTCTTGCTCTGATGCACCTGCAAAAGTATTGAAGGTTATTTTAGTTGTTCCCACGCTTTTCAGCTGGAAGTGCTTGGCGAGATTTTCAGTTATGAAAGTCCTCTGACTGCCACCACCAAAAACGTCTCGTATGTAGCGGCAGGTGTCAGCATTCACGACCTATGCTCTGAAAGTCTGATGAAAAACGCAAGCAATAGATCCTTCTTTGACGGGTCTTCTTCCAAGTGATGCGCAGACTGTCGTAGTTTTTTCGACGTTCTTGTTAGCATAGTCTGACTTCCGAGAAGGCCTGTCGAGATCGCACATGCTTGTAGCGTGTCAAGCTTGGCATCTGGAACAGGAAATCTTCTTTTGCAGTCCCGTGCCCGATGTCCTTTGGTGGTGCAGCGGAAACACCTCTTGTCGTTGGAGAGCAGTTCGTTCTTCTGCATCAGTGACAAGTCAGCTGTAGATTCATCCAATCCGTGATGACTGGACAAGCAGAAGACGCAGTTGTCCTTTTTTCTCGTTCCAAGTTGCCGTGAAGCACATGTGACGTTGGTTTCCCACGCCGAGAGTACGTGGACTGACTTTCCACTGGGAGTGTTCCATGTTCTCGTCTTCTGGCATCCTTAAAATCGCTCTTCTCCAGGCTTTCCAGCTTCATATACAAGAAGTTGAGAACAAGGTCCAGTCCAACGGGTGTAGCTTCACCTCTCGAGTCATGGGCCAACTGGACGGCACAAGATCGATGGTACTGCATGACTATATCTCGTGGAAGAGCACGCAGTAGGATGTTGCAGAGAATACGAAAATGACGACTTGTGCACACGCAAGAACTTTAGGCCTCGGATATTAACGCGAACTTGGTCGACAAGCTGTGTAGCGCTTTGGTGTCAGCTGATGAACGGACAGGGCTCAACATCCGCGTAGCTTAGCAAAATATTCTTGCGCCAGGCGCTTGTAGTCCCCAAGTCGCTTCTGTAGCAAGATGATGGCGTCGTTGTTGCAACTTTCTGTCGTCGGAACTCCCGCAATTACTGATGCAGCGTCTGCTTTCAGATATAGTCGTAGGCAATGAAACTTCTCTGTGGCAGTGATGCGAGCTCTACTATGAAAAATATGGTCGAATTGTTCCCCAAATTCGGTCCACTTGTATAGGTCCCCAGAAAAAGAAGCTATTGTCAGTTTAGGCAATTTAACTCCCGTTCCGTCTGATGGTGCTGCGACTGTCTGAACAACTGTTTCTTGAGTTCCCGTCGATGACGTTAGCATGCAATCTTTCTTGCTGTGAATTTCTGCGAGAATCCGCGTAGCACTGTCCTCATATTGTTAGACAGTGTTATACTCGGCATCGAACTCCTCGTCAGGTATATGCTGCTCGATCTTGTTGTTCAAGTTTTTAAGCTCTTCGTTATTAGCCTTCAGCCTATCATATAAGGAGTTGAGCTGGTCATAAAAGGCAGAGTCGTTAGCGAGGAGAGTACTTGCCTCGTTTATTATCCTCATGTTTTGTGCTCGCCGCGACGTCTGCTTCGACTTCAGTCGGTCCATGCCACTGCAGTTGACTAGTAGCCGTCCGTAGGTTCCTGGTTTTCAATCCCGGTTCTTCGGCACCATATATTAAGACGATGACATTCCTGACACTGCGATCAGAGTCAACTACGTCGTTAAGGCACACGGCAAAACATACTTGTTTATTGAGCTGCGTTCGGGAGCGCTCTGTTTGATGATGATGATGATGACGATGATGAGCATTTTGCTTTGCTGTCACTCGCCTACAAAAATGGATCGACCAAGAACCAGGCGGCATGATCCTCAAGTTAGTTAGTTATGCATTTAAAGCATTAAATGGAGTTTGGAAAAATGTATGAAACTGCTACACTAGCTAGTGGTCAGGCCTTCACGTAGTCTCAGAGCCGAAAATATTTATAACACTAGACTAGCAAGGCAATCTTTTTGTTGCTATTATAAACGCACACACAGCAGAGGGAACCTCCCTGTGGCTATAACCTAATGAAATTTCTCCAAAGAATAAAATTACTGCCCCGTTTATTTCTGAACCTAGCTTCTCAGCTGGTCTGACCAGGTATCTTTCCTTTGATAGGAATATCGGTGACAGAATAAAACGAAATGATCTACTGTTTCTAATTCCTTGCAAAAGAGACATAACGGGATGCTGTGAGTTCAGCTTTATGTAAGTAATAATTCAGCTGCGGAATTCTGTATCGTAATCTGGTGATTGTTATTTCTAACTGCCGTGATATACAACACTGTTTGTTCCAGCAAAATGTTAGATGTACGAAGTCTCTGACCTTATCCAATGATAATTTTTCTATTTCCTTGTGCAAACAACAGCGTTCTCTCTCTTTCACTCGCTCTCTCTCTCTCGTCCGTATTCGTACTGCTCAGGGCGAAGAAAATCAGGAACCACCGGACATGACGAAGCCTTGCTTCTCGGAGAGTGAGGGTGTCTTCGACTGGAGCCGGCGACGTGGCCGGTCGGCTGCGGGCCACGTTCTCGTTCTGCACCGGCTGTATCCTTTCAACCAGCCGCCTGGAATCGTAGTCTCGTACTGCATCACCACGCTTACCCTGGACGTCTTCCTTCTTAGTTTCCTGACCCAGCTGCTGCTTGAGCCAATCACCTCGGGCAGCTTCTGGGCCGTACTGCTCGTGGTGCTACTATCCCTGGTGGCCCTGTTCTGCTTCGTCGTCATACTCATGCACCAGCAGTCCACCACGCTGCTGCACTACAAGGCGAGTATTGCATCTGTCGCGCCGTGACTCCTTCCATCATTGCTTAGTTGTCAATGAACTATTGCATTTATTTGTTTCTATTCGAATACAGATAAATGGCGGCACAGACCACCTAACGGGGACACTGTAGAGCAGCGCAGACATATAGAAAGGGACACAGACTAGACAGACGATACAGGCGCTATCACTGGTATTAAGGTGAAGTCTTATATGCTTCATCAGAGTGGCTTGTTGGACGAGTTGGTTCATTCTTAACGTAGCTTATGGCGCGAAAAAAAAAAAACACGAAAGACGGACAAACGCTTGTCTGTTTCTCGTGAAAGGGGATTGCTGGTGTCGGTGGCGTTGGTATCAAGCGGACCGATGCAACAAAATCACCGTGCGATGATTTCATGACTTAACGTATCGCCAAAATATAGGACGTAACCACGAATTTACTGTGACGTCACTGTGAGGTCTCGTAAAGTGACGCCACGTGATGGCGTATGTCATCACATGACATCATCGCTTAGTCATAGCCTAAAAGGGGGGTTGATCACGGAGGCTCCGTGAAGTATACAGAAAGCTTGCAGTGCTTCTGATCGTGGAGGCCATGCAAAAGCACGCGAAGCGTGCATGGTAAGCATTTGATCAGTGCAATCGAATAAAAAATAAATTAATAATAATAAGGCGACAGCTTTCGCTTTCTGATCATCTTAGGCGAATGCATAAGGGACCTTTTGCCTATTTGTCTCTGAAGCTTGTGTATCTTTGAAGTTATTCTACATTGCAACCACACCAACTATAACTTCGCTTTCCTTACCGTAAGGAAAGCGAAGTTATGCGAAGCGAAGTTAAGCGATGAATTGCAGTAGTACTGCAATTCATCTATGCTTGTCACAGTTAACGAACATTACATTGTCGTTGACAGAGTTTAATTTAACGTACTTACCTGCACCAATGGTCTGTTGATCGGTGTCTCGACGACAGTTCAATGGTGCTACGAGAACGCGTTCGACTAAGCACGAAAGAAAACAAGTTTTGTGTTCATTTATTCCGGCTGCTGCAACAATACACCAGCCCTACTTAAAGGGCTCTTCAATTAGAATGGTTTGCATCTGGGCGAGTTGGTGGACTACTTCCATGACAAGTGTCAAACTTATTTTATTGTTGTTTTAGCCAATGTAATCTTTGACCACGTGTTTGACACGGTTGATTGCCGCACTTATATATTCCGCAGAGAGTTTCTATTAAAACGCCAGCTGTTAGTGTCAGCACTGTCTTCGTGTCTCTTTCTTTCGCCCGTGCGTTTAAATTTAGCTGCAGCCACTCGACATGCAGGCTTTTCAAGTTGCTATAAACTGCAAGTGAACCACCATATTTTTTCCTTCAAGTTCAGTTTTGTTTCTAACCGTTCAGAGTTCTTTACAAACCGGCTGTTTTATTCCTGCTTACAGATGCCACTAGTGCCCCTCTTGCCTACCTTGAGCATCATAATCAACGCCACGCTGATGACAACGCTGCAACCACTAACGTGGGTGCGACTGCTGATATGGGGTCGCCGTAGGTAAGCTACTCCCGATGTATGGATAAAGGCTATTATGGCGCCTCGGAACGCGCTCTAACAGCTTGCGGGCCGCTGCCACGTCGTAACAAAAAGACGAAGTGATTCCTGCTGCGTCGCGGCCGTCGTTGGACCGCTACTCACGGATATGAATCAGTAACTTGACCCGGGATGCAGAGCCTTGGCAACTTATTCCTTGCTGGCATGCATGAATGAGCAACATGTCGCATGTCTGTTCAGTGTAGAAAAAGATCTCCCCCCTTTTTGGACTGTTGCAGTGAGTACAAAGGCTGACGTTACAGCATTGACGGTGAAATTTTGAGGGGGGGGAGGGTCATGCATATTAAGCAATAACGTATTTGTTAGAGTTTTACATCCCAAAACCACGATATCGTTATGAGGGCCGTCGTAGCGAAAGGCTACGGAAATTTCGACCATCTGGTGTTAAAAAGTACGAAAGCACGAGTCCGGTAGTCGTGTATAAAGTAAACTAATAAGTGTTGGTGAGGTCCACGGATCCGATGGTGGAGGGCGGGGGGTTGACCACCTGAAGCCTGTTGCACAGAGGTGACAATGGTGGCTTAATTGTAGACCTGTGTAAGTTCCCAATAGGTTTGTGACAGTGACCTCGCAGATAGTGAGTCAAAATAGGCACGATTACGGGCCGCGGTACTGTTGCACCCAAGGGGTGGATGGCGTACACACAACCCCAAGACGGATCCTCCGCAACGTAACCTCCTCTCGAGAGGATAAACCACCAGACATATCGGAATTTTCGGACGTGATACCCCAGTAATTATAATTGTTTTATAGAATCCATTCGGGCCGGACAATCTACCAAATAACGGCATTGTTGGATCAACTTTTGTTACCAATCGCTATATTCTTTACTAAAACCGTATTCATAAAGTTTAAGCCTGATAAAATAATAAAAAATTATCTATAGCTGCAAAATGTACCTTTTTTATATACAACAGAAACGTAACGGCCAGCGTTGCATAATCGAGGCTTCATATGAAAGAAAATAGATAAGCAAATAAACAAACAACTCTGGGCCAGGCTATCGTAACGTTCGCGCAACACTATAGCTCACCGTGACATAACAAATTTCAGCAGCTCTTGTTCAAGCCTAGTTAAGTTCTTTTTTAGCCAGTACTGACTACATTGTATATGCTACGTAAACGAGCTGAACGCCCATCTTGACGAACTTCGATATCTACTAATAATCAACAAAAGCTCGCAAAACTATAATAACAAGAGGTGGAGTTTTATCGTCTCAAAACCACCGTGTGATTACGAGAGACGCCGTAGTGGAGGACTCCGGAAATTTCGACCATCGGGTGTTTTTTTCACGTGCACTGACATAGCACAGTAACTACACGGGCCTCTATGGAAATGCGGCCGCCCCGGCTGGGGTCGAACCCGCTACCTTTGGGCCAGCAGCCGAGCGCCCTCGTCACTGATCCACAGACCAGGCGGACAGCTCGAAACACTAAGATGTACCAGATTTCGTAATAGTTATGAATGAATGTTGAATTCGACTACGGCGCAACAGCTCTGGAGTTATTAAAACTGAATTCGCTCATTTATTTCCTCTCTTAATGGTGATGATTTAATACTGAATGTATGTTCAATTCGACTACTGCCAAACAGCTCTGGAGTTATTAAAATTGAATTTAGTCCTTTATTTCCTCTCTTAATAACCAACCTCAAACAGCGAAATATACAAAATGGGGGCCGAAGAGAATGCATTATCGTTCTAGACCTACTGTGTTTGCATATAGGGCTACATTAATATCGAAATGCAAATGCAAAGCTCTGCCTTTGGATAATATATATCAATGGCTGCCTGGACATATCGGTATTACCGGAAATCAATTACCCGACGATGCAGCCCGCTCAGCCCATGAAGGAACCCGTGTAGTCCCGATTCCTCTATCAAGGAATGATGCAGCAAGACAACTTTACCTGTTGGCTCGAGATCTCACACGCACGTTCTGGTCGTCTACCAGCTTCCAAAGGTGTCACTTTTATGAACTGGATCCTTCGCTCAAGCTAAAGCTACCATCACAACTTTCCCGCTCCGATGCGACACTGTTATGCCGCCTTTGGTTGGGTGTTGCATTTACAAAGGTGTACTCCTTTCGCATTGGTGTGGCAGACACTCCTGCATGCGACTACTGCGGAGCTGAAGAGACCATCGAACACGTCCTGTGCAGCTGCGCTTGCTACGACACACAGCGATGCCAGCTCGGGATGGTTTTGAATCAACTTGACCCCGGACCATTTTGTGTGCAGAAGATACTAGGACCTTGGGCATCTGCCTCAGTTGCGCAGAAAGCAACTAAAGCACTGCTACTTTACCTTAAGTCAACAAACCTGAGCGACCGCCTGTAGACTGTGTGTGCTCCCCGAGTGTGCTCGTGATTGTGTGTATCTTCTCATCTCTCTGCAACCTCTTTTCTCCCCTTTATCCCTTCCCCAGTGCAGGGTAGCAAACCGGATGTGCATCTGGTTAACCTCCCTGCCTTTCCTTGCATCTTTATCTCTCTCTCTCTCTCTGCCTTTGGATAAAGTATCACAGTAATATATGCAGCCACTTGCTGCCGATGCAGAGTTACCTCTTTTGAAAGTTTCTGCACCTCGTTAACGCACTGCACCCAACTTTTACGCTGCAATTGCGTTTAAATATTGATGAGCCACGTGCTGCGTACATATGGACGGGTTATATGCGAACAGTTGGATGTGGAGCTGCGGAAGCTTGGTTTGTCAGAACGAGTTGCTGAACGAGGACGTTATACTGATATATTCATGTGCATGCAGGAGCCTCCGAAGCGTGGGGGTACATTAAGTAAGATAAGGCGCAATGTCAGGCCACACACGGACCCGCAACGAAGGGCTGATAGGAAATGGTAATTTCCTGGTTGGCGCCTTTGCCGGAGGACGCGTTAGAAAAAAATATAAGTGAGCAAGGTGACTGTGGGCAATTCCGGGTCGTCGTTGCATTATGCCTTAGAGGGTGTATGCAAAGTGTTGTGCAAAACAGTATTAGAATGAAAAACACTCAGCAGATACGTGACAGCGTTGTTTACTGCTTGGGGTGGGGGCATGAAAGCATTGCTCGCGAGTACAAGAAAAAAGAAAAAAAAAGAAGCAAGCAAAGCAACAAAAGAAAGAAAGAAAGAAAGAAGAAAGTAGAAAAAATTAGAGATAAATAAATGAATAAGTGTAGGAGGAAGAAGAGATTAACAAATAAAGAAATAAAGGAAGAAAGAAAGATAAATAAATAAATAAATGAAGAAAGAAAGAAAGAAAGAAAGAAAGAAAGAAAGAAAGAAAGAAAGAAAGAAAGAAAGAAAGCTCTGTCTAGCGATATGGTCAATCTAACAATGCTTTAGGATGGATCTGCGAAGATATAGCTCGTTAGGCAGAAGACTTCAGGTTGTGAGGGTGGCACGTATTTTCATACAACTGGCCACGTGTGACAGGGAAAGAACAGGAACGTCACAGCTTCAGGAAATGAGTACGGACTGTACTTCTGCATATCTTATATTTCAGTGCGAAAGAACACGGGTATACGCAAAACAGGACGCGAGGGTAGCCTGCTGTGCCACTCGTGTTTCCTTGCGCTAGAGCATAAGATTTGCAATGCCACCTGGAAAGAAAGAGGGGGGATATATCAGAGGCCAGTTTCTCTGCTGGATACAACATGATGAAATATACAGAAGAAGCTAGGTAAGGATGGCGAGAGGGGGTGTAATTACTTCTATGTTTTGACTGGTGTAGCAATTATGACATAAACGGAAATACAATAAAGTAGATGAAACGGGGCGGTAGCTGGCAGCAATAGGAGTCTTCCACGCTCACCTTCATGGCTTCGAGCAGCGCTGGCTAACACTAGCAGGACTACACAAAAAACATGAATACGTTTGTGGGAGGGCGACCGCCACAGTAGCTCAGATTGGTGGGACATCGGACCCATTATCAGGAGGTTATATAGGGTCGGTGCCTGCCTGCGTCAGGTTGAAGCAAGACACAGGTTGTAAGTTAAAGTGCAGGAATGGGTGACAAGGGGTGAGAAGCACGGCCGAGGACGGCAAGATATTAAATGAAGTGACCAAACTAAGAAACGTGGAGGCATGAAATGGAATAAGCTCGCTGGACCCCACAGGGTAGGTTTTCCTGCACTGGCAATAACATATTGTCACGATGAGTCACAAGTACTGGGAGATATATTGAACAACCGGGTAGCTAGCTCTAGGACGATGCGTCAGTCGTGGCTGGCTCTCGAGCCGAGAAAAAACACGCAATTCTTCTTCCTTTCCTCCAGATGGTAGAGCCGCTCTTGCAGTCAACCCACTACGTGTGGGTGGCATTATCCCCCCTTTCGAAAAGAAAAAAAAAGTCCCAAAAGGGGGAAAGAAAAGTACATAGCACCACCACGATGTTACGACATAGGCACGTGGAAAAAAAGAAATTGGAAATTCGGATAAAGTAAAAATAGAAATGAACGAGCGTGCCAATATAGGAAAAATCAGTGAACGAAGAAGCAAGTTCACAAAAATAAATAAATAACACAAAGAACGCTGTACGGCAAGAAAAAAGTTATGAACAACGCGCAATAAATGGTTTCATGCGCAACACATGAACGACATCCGACCTCGGTCGTGTCTTACTCCGTGCCTGCGATGTTGAGTCCGGAACCACTTCATAGTTCACGTCACTGACGCAACGTAACACTTTATAAGGGCCAAAGTACCGGCTCAGTAACTTTTCACTAAGGCCACGGCGGCGGACGGGCGTCCACACCCAAACTTGGTCTCCGGGGTTGTAAAATACTTCACTGTGGCGGATGTTATAGCGCCGTGCGTCTGCCTGCTGTTGCTGGCCGATGTGTAGTCGCGCGAGCTGCCGGGCTTCCTCAGCACGCTCTGCGAATTCATCGGCGTCAGTTGTCAACTCGTCTTCGTCTTGACACGGTAGCATAGAGTCCAGCATGGTCTGCACTTCGCGGCCGTAGAGAAGCCGAAATGGCGTGAATCGCGTGGTCTCTTGCACGGCGGTATTATACGCGAAGGTCACGTAAGGTAAGATCCGGTCCCATGTTTTGTGCTGTACGTCGATGTACATTGAGATCATGTCTGCAATGGTCTTATTCAGGTCGCTCGGTAAGTCCGTTGGTTTGCGGGTGGTACGCAGTTGTCTTTCGGTGTCTGGTGTTGCTCAGTTTGAAAACCTCGTCCATAAGTTGCGCCGTGAATGCCGTCCCTCTGTCCGTTATTATAGTGGAAGGAGCACCGTGTCGTAACACGATGTGGCGCATGAAAAATTGTGCTACCTCAGAAGCCGTGGCTCGTGGGATCGCCTGCGTCTCAGCGTAGCGTGTCAGATAGTCGGTCGCGACGATCACCCATTTGTTGCTGTCCACAGATAGGGGGAATGGCCCGAGAATGTCCATGCCGACTTGGTCGAACGGCGTGCAGGGTGCTTCAATCGGCTGAAGCAAACCAGCTGGCTTAACAGATGGTTGCTTTCGACGCTGACATTCCCGACAGCTCTTGACGTACTTCTTGACGCTTGCCGAAAGTCCTGGCCAATAATATCTCTCACTCACTCTGGCAAGTGTCCGTGAGTAGCCCAGATGACCGGATGTGGGTTCGTCATGGCAAGCGAAAAGGACGTCGTCTCGCATGTCTCGAGGAACCACCAGGAGGTAGGTACGGTTGTTCGAACGAGCGTTCTTCTTGTACAGCACACCCTCTCGAAGGCAGAATGACGGCAACGAGCGGGATAAATGACGTGGTATGATTGTGTCCTGGCCCTCTAAATGATCGATGATCGGACGAATCTCTGCGTCATCCCGCTGCAGTTTACTCAAGTCTGATGAGCTAATGGCGCCCAGGAAGCCTTCGTCTTCCTCTGCTTCCTGACTGACGACATGAAGGGGTGCGCGTGACAGTGTGTCAGCGTCTTCATGCTTACGGCCGGACTTATGGACGATGGTGACGTCAAATTCCTGCAGCCGCAAGCTCCACCGTGCTAGCCGTCCTGAAGGGTCGCGCAGGCTTGCCAACCAGCAGAGGGCATGGTGGTCCGTCACTACCTTGAAGGGACGACCATAAAGGTACGGGCGAAACTTGGTGATTGCCCACACGACTGTGAGGTACTCTTTCTCCGTTGTGGAATAATTCGCCTCGGCACGGGATAGAGAGCGGCTGGCGTAGGCTATCACCCTTTCGATGTCGTCTTGACGCTGAACGAGCACTGCACCAAGCCCAACGTTACTAGCGTCAGTATGGACCTCCGTGTCAGCATCATCGTCGAAATGAGCGAGAACGGGTGCTGATTGCATGCGCTGTCGCAGTTCATCAAAAGCTGCTTGTTGCTCGTTTTCCCAGACAAACGGCGTGTCGTCCCTTGTGAGACGAGTCAGAGGTTCTGCTATCTGTGAAAAGCCATGAATGAACCGGCGATAGTAGGCGCACAAACCAAGGAAGCGCTGGGCGGCTTTCTTATCGACAGGAGCTGGTAATTCGGCAACAGCGGCAAGCTTGTCTGGATCGGGCCTGACTCCTTCAGCGCTAACTACATGTCCAAGAAATTTCAGTTCTTCATAGCCGAAGTGGCACTTCTGTGGCTTTAGAGTGAGGTCCGCCGATCGGATAGCCTCCAGCACGCTGCGCAGGCGCTGTAGGTGCTGCTCGAACGCGGCAGAGAAGACCACCACATCATCAAGGTAGACAAGACAAGTCTGCCACTTGAGCCCTGTGAGGACAGTGTCCATCATTCGCTGGAAAGTTGCCGGCGCTGAACACAAGCCGAAAGGGAGTACTCGAAATTGGTATAGGCCGTCTGGAGTCACGAAGGCTGTCTTTTCGCGGTCTCGCTGATCTACCTCGATTTGCCAGTACCCGCTTTTGAGGTCGAGAGAGGTGAAATAATGGGCACGACGAAGTCTATCCAGCGAATCGTCGATACGCGGTAGCGGGTACACATCCTTTTTGGTCACGTTGTTGAGCTTTCGGTAATCGACGCAGAAGCGTAGCGATCCGTCTTTCTTTTTAACAAGCACGACTGGAGATGACCACGGGCTGTTGGATGGTTCGATAACGCCATCGTCAAGCATCTCGCGAACTTGCGTACGTATCGCTTCACGTTCTTTAGCCGACACGCGGTAGGGGTGCTGGTGTATTGGGCGTGCGTCCTCGTACGTGATGATCCTGTGCTGAGTGATGGACGTCTGGCGGATCTTTGAGCAACTTGCGAAGCAAGACCTGTACTCGAACAAGAGCGCTCGCAGCGCAGTCTGGTTATCGGTGGACAGATCAGGATTGATGTCAATGTTGCTCATTGATGTGTCTGCGTTATCCACTATTTCTGACGTGGGACAGTTGGTTACGTTTGCTACTTCGTGGGCAAACGCTATCGAAGTGCCACGGAAAAGGTGTCGATGCTCGTTGCTAAAGTTGGTAACGAGCAATTCAGATCGGCCGTCGCGAACGCGAATTACACTTCTCGCTACACATATGCCTTGCTGCAGGAGGTGTTCTAAATTTGTCTCGGCCACCACATCGCCATCGCTCAAACCACAGCATCTTACGTCGACTAGAACACTGGCTCGGGGAGGAAGCGTCACGCTCTGTTCAGAAATACGGAGTACGTCGACACGCATTCCGTCATCCTGCACGTTGATTGCTCGCTGGGCTGAGAACGTGACGCGGCGCTCTTGCAGATCAATGATAGCTCCATTTTCCTGTAGAAAATCAACTCCCAGAATGACGTCACGGGAGCATTCACGTAGAACAAGGCAGCTTGCTACGAATGTGTACCCTTGAATCTGTACTCTAATTGTGCAGGCACCCAGTGGAGTTACGACATGGCCACCAGCTGTCCGAATCTGCGAGTTATGCCACGGCGTGATTACTTTCTTCAGCTGCGTTGTCAGTTTCCCGCTCAGTATGGAATAGTCTGCGCCGGTGTCCACTAACGCATTAACTACACAACCATCAATTGTTACTGCTATGTCGAGTGAAAGCCGGCTATCCTTTGCAGCAGCAGGTGATGTCGGACCAGTTTCTGTACGGTTCTGCGTCAATAGGAGGTCTTCAGCGCTTCGACGTTCAGCGACCCCGCCCCCAGAGGTCGCTTCGGCTAGTTTTCCCGGCGGGGGCTGGGAGATCGTGCGGTAGAATACCGCTGGGGCATTGATGAAAATCGCCTCGGTGATGGCGAGCGCGACTGGCGCCCGGCAGACGGTGGTTCATGCTGCTGGGAGAGGTAGTTTTGGATGTCGCGTGGTCTCTGACCGTAACGGGGGGGCGGCGAGTACGCAGAGAAGCCGCGAAGCCCAAGACGGCGATAAGGACACTGGCGGTACAAGTGATCAGCTTCTCCGCAATGAAAGCATAGAGGCCGGTGATCGGGTGTGCGCCAGACATCAGACTTCCGAGGATACGAGTGCCGATCGTCGATGTACTGGACCGGTTGTACCGAACGATGGGCAACAGAAGCACCACGGCCAAAGGGCAGGGGCGGTGGCGTGTACGTGCCTTCGTAGTATGGCATGTGCTGCGCTGACTCGAGTGAAACTGCAGGGACAGGATGAACGAACAAGGGCGGCGATGCAGCAGGGCGTTTCAGGGCTTCCGCGTAGGTTGTCTTACGGTGGTATTCAGCAGGAGCTGGCGCAGCTGTGTCAGGAGGCAAGGTGTCCCGGAGGGCCTGGTGCAGCTCATCTTTGATGACGGTTGCAATAGAGCTAACAGTAGGATTAGGTGTTACACCAGCCTTTTGCAACTCCTCACGTACGATATTACGGATGAGTTCACGTAAGGAGTCATTGCTGGTCCCAGCGGCGGCGAAAATGTCAGCAGAGGACATGCCTCTGACTTGCCTGTCGTATTGGTTTGATCGCTGCTGTAGCATTTTTTCCATTGTCACGGCTTCAGACAAGAACTCCGCGACCGTCTTCGGAGGGCTTCGCACGAGGCCGGCGAAAAGCTGGTCCTTGACACCACGCATCAAGTGACGCAACTTCTTGTCCTCCGTCATTCTTGAATCTGCCCGTCGGAAGAGACGCGTCATGTCTTCGACGTACGCGGTCACAGTTTCGTTTGGCGACTGGACGCGGGCAAGAATAGCTCGTTCAGCTCTTTCTTGGCGGTCAGCACTGGCATATGTCTGCAGAAGTCTACGAGAGAATTCTGGCCACGTCGTCAGCTGCTCCTCTCGATTTTGATACCACGTGCGAGCCCCGTCTTCGAGATAGAAGTAGACACGACCCAGTTTCGCCGCGTTGTCCCACTGATTCAAGTTGGCTACGCGCTCGAAGTCCGCCAACCAGTCCTCAACGTCTTCGCTCTCCGTACCATGGAACGTCGTCGGTGCCCGTGGGCTTTCCAACGTATATCGGTTCGACGACGTGCTTCCGTGCCGGTTGGCAAGGTTTGTACCGAAGTGCTGGTCATGTTTGTTGACGTGGTGGTAGCAGTATCGTTGACTTCCGGAGGCAATCCCCTGATTCGGCGGCTCGTCCGATGCACGGGAGTATTGACTGGCACTGGACTCGTATTACGGCTTCCTGGGGGGGTCTGCAGCATCCGTGAGACTACCCAGCACCTTCCACCAGTTTGTCACGATGAGTCACAAGTACTGGGAGATATATTGAACAACCGGGTAGCTAGCTCTAGGACGATGCGTCAGTCGTGGCTGGCTCTCGAGCCGAGAAAAAACACGCAATTCTTCTTCCTTTCCTCCAGATGGTAGAGCCGCTCTTGCAGTCGACCCACTACGTGTGGGTGGCAATATGATGACGATGATAAATGTAGGAGACTGAATTTGGGACATTATAAACTCTGACGCACACTTGTGTACCTTTTTCTTGTTGTAGCGATGTCGTAAATATTGACTCTGGAGGCAGTACTTTTTCCCATCTCATTCACTGTTCGCTTGAACGACTCGCAGGACTTCTGGTCTACTTCAGCTACGGCATAAAACACAGCAAGCTCAACCCGGACAGCGTCATCTCACCGCAGACGTCACTCCTCGCCATGGAGTCACGAGACCAACCTCGCAAGTGGGGCGCCACGGATCAGGAAGTGACGTCGGCCACAGTTCCGGCCGAAGCGGGCGACAGCAGCGCCGACGACAAGCAGCCGCTCGTGTCGTCACCGCAGCCGAGATCCTAGGTACACGCGCGTGGAAACGTTGCGGATACGTGGTGTCTAGCTGTCCGACGTCTGTGACGTGTTTCCGGGCCCCGCTTTACTGCGTGAAGCAAGCCGAAAAAATAGCCTCTGAGATCTTCGCAATCTTAACCAGAGAGCCCTATCGTTCGAGCGGGGATTCAGGAGCCACTTATCAGTCCGCTTTTACGTCACAAAGGAGTTATATCTATCTGTTTTTGATGCTGAGAAAACGCGTGGCTGAGGTCCAGGTGGATTATCGAGTGTACGATCTTTTCTTTGTCACTACTAGTGCAAACAATGTGTGGGTCTACCCTAGGGGACTTTATTTTTGGCTATCAGCTCACCCGTCAACTGATCTCTCTATGGTAAAAGCTTACGTTCATTCATGAATTCAGAAAGTGTCTTTGAACGCTTCAGAATGCTGGAAGGACTGCTCGGCCCAATTATGGTGCTCTTAGTTGAGCATCCCCGACAGATGTTTACTGTTCGTTTGTTCGTGAAATAAGAGCGTTACCACAGTAATATCGAGCTACCAGCTAAGAAAGGGTTTCTAGCAGTCGTAGAAGGCAATACATTGCCACCGTGAGGTAAAGGTGATAATACCGAGAGAGGGTACCACGGAAGTGACCACAGAAGCTTTGGCAATGACGAATTAGGACACTGCCTGCGTCGCCGACAAAGTTCCGTTTCGGCGTTACAGTGAGATAGGACAAGGAGCACTGGTGTAGCCAGAGTGGCACACCGGGTCCATACCACCCCCCAATCTTCGCGAAATATTTTTTCGCCATGACATGCAGAGCCGAAAATGACAATCTTAAGAATTGTCATCCCCTCCCTACCCCTTCTCCTCCCAAAAATTCTGCCTACGCCCTTGACGAGGATCAATTCATATCAGCCCTCGCATAAGTGGAGGACGTAGAAAAAGAATCACGGGATGATTCTGGCAGCTCTTTCAGAAGGACGAATGAAAGAAAAATCTGGAATAAAAGGCTTAGAGTAATAATCTTTTCGGGCGTATCTGCCACCTATGAGTGTAGGCGTACCTCGCTTAAACACGAAACACGGAGGATACGCCAATGCAAGACATCTTGCGCACATCTTGTTCAGACCTGTTTCTTCCTACCGACACATCATACCTAAATGTGTACAGATATGACATCACCAGGCTCAGAGCCGAAGTGCTGATCAAGAGAATATCTTGTTCTAAGAAATTTATGTTAAAAAAAAAGATTGAAGCGTACACAGATATGGCGTCGTCAGGCATCCTACGAAAGATGTATTCAAGTAGTGGATGTAAGCGTCATGCTTTCGTGTGATTCCTATCAGATTTACGGAATACATATCGATACCACAGAAATTTCTTTCTACTCGGCAGATAGCCTTGACTCGACAGAACGAGATAAGAAAGCAGACTCTTTAAAAGAAAGCCGATTCATTGCGACAGAATATATCTACGTCGTCTCCGCGATGACGTTAAATTTGTCACAGTACCACATTATGTCACAGTACACGCACTCTACGACCATTCTACACAAGATTGCTAGAATTAGGCCCCACCACCGAAAATGGTTGCCATCTGCCTGTAATCTATCAAGGACCTTCGTGTGCTGTGTAGCTCATTAGTTATGCACTGGTGATTTTATTTGCTTTAGACTCGTGTCCTTAAGCTTCGACAGCAGAGTATTTGCGTGGATTCGGCACGATGTTTGAAAATCACACTGAAATACACAATGCTGTAGGCTTACTGGGACGCTCCTTGAATCTCGGAGGACCTATATTTTGCGTTTGCGAATTGTTGCTAATCTTCCATAGCTGGCACAACGTCACCATGCGGCAGTGGTGGTGCGTGCTATTCGGCAATACGCTACGCCTTCGCGCTGTGCATTACCGGACATTAACTCCCGTGGCACAGTTCCGAAAGCAGGTGTTGCTTCTTTCTTCGCCGGTCGTTGACACGCGAGGCACGTCGACGGGCAATCGGTGACTAGCTTCGTCGATTAGTGACAAGCTTAAGCGATTCGCCTCCAAAGCAGAGCGTGGCTTCGCCGTGTATCTATGGTTGCTAACCAGGGCAAATGTAGTGGTCCTTTGCGCTACTCTGCTCCCGTAGGGAGCATATACAGTTATTGTGCGCGCGTGTGCTGCCAAGTGTGCTGTGTTTATCTCTCTTCCCTCTCTGCTCTATATCTTTCATATGCCCCATACCCCTCCCATGCGTGGGTAGCAAACCAGCTGCCTATAGGCTGCATGGTTAACCTTCCTGCCGTTCTTTTCCTCCTATTTCCCTTCCTTCCTACTCTAGCAGTGTCGGTCACTCTGTGCCCTCTTCCAGCTAAATGTTCTTCTGATTGGTTGGCTTCACCACAATACACGTCAAAAACCACTCGACAAAGTTGAAGGCTTTATTGCCCATGATAAGGCCCAACTTTTGTCTGACGTCACACATTGCAGCTACAGTAATTCGATCTCTGCCCTCTTCTGATCTAAGTGTACCCCTGATAAGTTGACTTCACCGCAACACACGTTGAAAACAACTCGAAAACGATAAGGGCTTAATCACCTATGATAAGGCTCAACATTTGTGTGACGTCCCACATTGCAGCGTCGGTCACTCTGTGTCCTCTTCCGAGCTAAATATTCCCCTGATAGATTGGCTTCACTGCAACAAATGCCAAAAACCAGTCAAATAAGTTAAGGGCTTTATCACCCATGATAAGGCTCAACTTTTGTCTGACGTCACACAATGCAGCGTCTAGAGTCACTGTACGTGCTACCTTTAGGTAGCTGTGCAGCGCATTTCTTTTTCCAACGCCGCTAGCAACCATGCACTGCGGAGAAGCTTGTACACAAGCCGCACCACCGAAAACGGTTGCCGTCTACCTGTAATTTATCCATGACCGTCGTGCGCTGTGTAGCTCGTTAGCTACGCACTCGTGATTTTATTTGCTTTCTATTCATGTCCTTGAGCTTCGACAGCTAAGCATTTGCGTGGATTCGGCATGATTTTCGAAAATAACACTGAAATAAACAAAGCTGTAGGCTTAGTGGGGCTCTTCTCGAATCTCGGAGGAACTATATTTTGTGTTTGTGAGTTATTACCTGTCTTCCATAGCTGGCGCCACTTGGCCATGTGGCAGCGGCGGTGCATGCTATTCGGAACTCTACGCCATATTCGTGCTTTGCGTTACCAGTCAGACTAAAAATGCCTTTGAACTCCCATGGCACAGTCCCCAAAACAGCTGTTTCTTCTTTCTTGACGGCTCTTTGACACACCAGGCACGTCGACTCGCGATCGGCGACACGCTTTGTCGATTGGCGACAGGATTAAGTCTCCTGCTAAGACAGAGCGTGTCTTCGCCACGTAACTATGGTTGCTGACCAGGCAACATGACGGACCTATGCGCTACTCTGCTCCTGTAGGGAGCATGTACAGTTACTCTAGTTTGAGAGAAAAGAAAAAGGTTATGTAGCGCCATCTACACGCTTTGCACCAAAATCAAAAGAGCACCAAACCACCTTCAAAAGAGTGGCTAGCTTTGTTGCCAATTTTGGAGTCTGCGGGTGGTGCGTTCAATATTGAGCAACCAGGGGGAGACACAATACCAGACAGACCCACACTACCACTGACGCCTTCATTCGAAGCCTCATTGTGATCTACGCACGTAGCAAAAAAAAAAAAAAAAGCGTATCTATGCTGCGAATTCCAGAAACCAAGGACCATGCGACATTTTGATTGATATGTGGGGTTTAACGTCCCAAAACCACCATATGATTATGAGAGACGCCCTAGTGGAGGGCTCCGGAAATTCCGACCACCTGGGGTTCTTTAACGTGCACCCAAATCTGAGCACACGGGCCTACCATGCGACATTTTTATAGTGAAGGTAAACTTACCTCTAATACTAAATTTGAAGACACAAGATATTTGTCGCTTATTCACTGCCCATGAGGAATGTGGCGAAGTGTGTAGTACTTTAGGACGAATGCCAAACATTCTGGTGTCAGCAAATTTTCAATGTTAGCTTCTTTTTCTCAGGTAATAACTATTCGTACTATTCACATAGTTTATGAACATCATAACACTGTAACTATGCGGTATTGATTGAGAAACTCCCTAGTCATGCACATCGTATGAAGTAAGGTATAACAACTGATTGAACCAAGGAGATCGCATTGGGAGCTAATTGTTGCGTTTGCATAAAATGCATTTTCCTTAAAGGACACTGAAGAGCAACACAAGTTTTCGCGTATTAGTAAAGTACAATTCACAACCAAGAAAACACCACTCTTTCGGTCTTACCACGACACCACACTTGGTAAGCGGGGAAAAAAAAAAAAACGCGTGAAAAAATAATGCTGGTGGAAACGCCATATTGAGATTCCCGCAACAAACACCATGACGTCATAAATTTTGAAGGCGTCTACTTGGTCCTAGGTATAACTTCTAATTGATAAAATTTTTTTTTTTTTATTCAAGTACCCTAAAGGCCTGGGTAGGCATTACATAGGGGAGTTGTAGCACAATAAAGCTGTTACAATTACAGTGTATAATTTGAATAACAAATACAAACGATTGATATAAATATGCACATACATATGTAGAGATATTATTACTTAACAGTACAGAGATGCTACGTGGAGGAATAAAGAAAGTACTACTAAAAAAGAAACAAAAAAAAAAAAAAAAAAAAGAAAAGAACAGGACAACAAAACTCTAAGGAAAATTTTCGCAGTGTTCAAAACAACAAAAGGATGCAAAGAAAGGATAATTCACGTTCATTGAAATACCGCGTACAAGAACTACGACAACAAGTACAACAAAACAGATATGCACAAGAACAATATTAACTTTCATTAAAATAACTTTTAAGTTTATTCATGAAATCTTCATGATTTTGGGAAGAAACGACGTCGGCAGGTAGCTTGTTCCAGTGATATATTGCGAGAAAGAGGGGGGATTTACTTAAGAAGTTTGTTCGAGCAAAAACGGGTTGTACTTT